TGGGGGAAGAGCATGAGTACTTGGATTTGCTTAAGGAGAAAGAGTTCATGGCAGAAGAGCAGAATTTCTTGTTATGTGAAGATCTCTAGGGAAGAATGTCATTCAAATGATTCAATCCTGAAGTTGAGAAATCAATGCTTCAAGAGAATGCTAAGAACAAAGCCCAAAAGAAAGAGGAAAATGAAACAGAAGAGCTTGATGTGTCAGTTGAAGAAATGGCTACATGATATAAGACCCTGCTGGAGACAATTGGAAAAAAGTTTGCTAAGAAGAGAGATGACCATGTCAATAATTATGAAGGTGAAAAACAAAGCATAAAAACCAATGAAAACAAAAAAGATTTTCTTAAAGCCCTAGGATTAAAATGGATGCCTTAAGCCGGGGATTTAGCTCAGTGGTTTTGCTGCCTGCTGCGAAAGTGCAAGGACCCGAGTTCGATCCCCGGTACAAAAAAAAAAAATGGATGCCTTAAAATACAACTCAGGGGTCCGGGGATTTAGCTCAGTGGTACCACCGCCTGCCTCAAAAGTGCACAGTCCCGAGTTCGATTCCCCCGCACCAAAAAAAAAAAAAAATACAGCTCAGGGACCCTTTGGGAAAGCAGTGTGTTCTGGAACTCATTCTGATAGCGTCTCTCTAGTTGCTGATATGTAATATTTATTTGTAAAGAAATGTATAATTTTGGGCCGAGGATTTAGCTCAGTGGTTCCGGCGCCTGCCCCGCAAGTGCAAGGACCTAGGTTCAATCCCCAGTACCAAGAGAAAAGAAAAGAAAAAAAGTATAATTTTGGGCCAGCCATGGTGGCACATGCCTGTAATCCCAGCACTTGGGAGGCTGAGGCAGGAGGATCACTGTGAATTCCAGCCCAGCCTGGCCTACATAGTGAATTCAAGGCCAGCATAGACTGCATAGTGAGACCCTGTCCCTCCCCCCAAAAAAGTATAATTTTGGAAACAGGCTGTTATTGAAACAGATGTATTATGGATGGTATACAGCCTTTTCCTAGTGATATTCATTGAAAATATAATTTCAGCCCTTGACCTTCAAATATACATAGACACAGGGTTGCTTCCTACAGCTTTTCTTACCCCAGATTTTTAAAAAATATATAGCTCTCCAGCCAATGACCTTGAAGTGACTCCTACAAATTAATGCCAGTGTTTCAGTTACCCTTATATTTATATTTTGCTTTAAATTATTAATCACATCAATCCAATTCATGCATTCATTTTGGAATCAAATATAAGATTTTATTAAACCTTAGCTGGGCCTGGTGGCACATGCCTGTAATCCCAGCACTTAGCAGGCTGAGGGATGAGGATTCATCAAAAAGAAGCATGCCTCAACTCTTACAGATTGACTAAATGCCTTTTGTGTAAAGGAATGTATATGAGTCTTTGGGGGGCCAGGGGTGGAATGTTATAGTTTGGGTCTAGATGACCCAGAAAGTCCCTGTGGTCAAAGGCCTGATCTAGAGTGTGTAAAGCTGGAATTGATTCATGATGCAATGTTAGGCTCAAGGGCACTAGGATTAAGGGTGTGAGTACTACCCACCCTAAATAGTCTGAACAAGATAAAAGGGGCAGAGAGATGCTATTAACTCTCTTGTTACCATTGCTGCCTGTGTGTGCTATGTTGTTTCTGCTCTGCCATCCCTGTTTGTCACCCTGCCTTGGAGTTGGCTGATTATGAAGTTCAATATTTTTTTTTGGTACCGGGGATCAAACTCAGGACCTTGTGCTTACAAGCCAGGTGGCAGCACCACTGAACTAGATTCTCAGCCCAGAGTATTTAATTATTTAAAAAGTTCTGTAAGAAACATATTTTCACATTAAAAAAATAAAAGATTGCTTTAATGCTTTTGTCAGGAAAAATGGCAGATGGATCCAGGCCATAATTTGGGGATAGAGGCCTGGACTGAGATGGAAGCAGTGGGGTAGGAAGGCATGGGCAGATTAGGGGTATATTTGGAAAGCAGGCACACGTATTCAGCTTCTGTAGGAGTGGAACAGTGTGTAGAAAAGAAGGAGGGGCTGGAGAGCAGCTCAGTGGTACAGTGCCTGCCTAGCATGCTTGAGGCCCTGGGTTCCATCCATAGTCCCACAAAAAGAAAAAGCCGGAGAGCTCAAACTAAATCCTAGAGGAGATTACAGATACACCTAACACAATGTGGGCTCCTAAATTGAATTCTGAACCACAATTCTTTTCAGAACATTAGTGACTGGGCTTAGTGACACATGGCCACAACCCCAGCTATTTGGGAGGCAGAACAGGAAGATCACAAGTCACAGCTTGCCTGGGCAATTTAGCAAAATCCTGGCAAAAGAAGGGAGACTGAAGGGCCGGGGATTTAGCTCAGTGGTTCCAGCACCTGCCTTTCAAGTGCAAGGTCTCAAGTTTGATCCTCAGTACCAAAAAAGAGAGAAGGGAGGCTGAGGATGTAGCATGTGCAAGGCCCTGGGTTCAATCCCCAGTACAAAAAAAAGAAAGAAAGAAAAATTAGTGGGAAACTGTTGATATTTAACCAAGGTTTGTAGTTCATTTGGTTAATAGCATTATACCCTTGTCAATTTTCTGGCTTAAATCATTGTACTGTGGTTCAAGTTGGGAGTGGCTGGGTGAAGGACATATGATGGTTCTACATTCTTTTTCTGACTCTTCTGTAAGTCTGAAACTATTTCAAAATAACATATTTAAACTGAGTGTGGTGGTGCACATCTGTAATCCCAGCACTCAGGAGGTTGAGGCAGGAGGATCACCACTAATTCAAGGCCAGTCTAAAACACACAGCAAGACCCTGTCTTCCCCTAATACTGAGGCCCTAATGGAGCCATCGGTTTGGAAGGTGAAGATTTGGAGCAGAGTGGGATTGTGTATTGGAAGGCATTCCAGATGTGGATGTGTCAAATGTGCCCGTGAGGTCCCCAGGTGCAAGGGTGGAGTTGAGCTTTGGAGTATTGAATTACTAGTGGAGGCAGAAGAGTTTGGGGCTGGAAAGGTAAATTTGGGAGTCACTGGGGTCCATATGGTACCTGAAGCCATGGTGCTGAATAAAGTCACCTTAACGACAAGGGAGGGTGAAGAGGCTCTTGGACTGAGTCCCAAGGGTGTCCTACATTTAGGGTTCAGAAAAAGCAGGGGAAACATGCAAAGGATAATGATGGTGAATCACAGGCAGGAGTTAGCAGTCAAGAAAGATGAGAAGCTGAGCATGGTGATGTATGTCTGTAATTCCAGTTATTCAGGAGGCTGAGGCAGGAGGATTGCAAGTTTGAGGCAATTCATGAGACACTGTCTTTTTTTTTTTTTTTATGAGACCTTGTCTTAAAATAAAACAGAAGAAAAGGTCTGAGGCTATAGCTTAGTGATGGAGCGCTTGTCTAGTATGTGGGAATCTGTGTTCCATCCCCAGCACTACACACAATCGCACAAAACTGGACAAATGCAAATTGAGGGACAATCTACAGAATAACTCACCAGCACTCTTCAAAAGTGTTCATGTTATGAAAGACAAAAAAACCCAAATGCTAAGAATCAATCACAGAAACTAACTGCAACATGGTATCCTGGGTTCAATTCTGAAGTGAGGAAAGTACATGATTGGAAAAGCAGAAAATTGGAAAGGAATCTGCCATTCAGTGAACAGAACTGCACCGATGCCAACTGCTTGGTTCTCTCGTGTATGCCACAGCAGTGTGTGATGCTAAGATTAGGGAAAACCGGATGAAGGATATTTGAGAATTCTCTGCACTAGTTTCAGACCTTTGTAAGGCCAAAAATAAAAGGAAAATAAAAGATGCTATTATAACACAGGAATAGGGCCAGGGATTTAGCTTAGTGCCACCTCACCTGCCTGGCAAGTGCAAGGTCCTGAGTTCGATTCCTGGTACAAACACACACACACACACACACACACACACACACACACGAATGATACAAAGGAATAGAAGAGCCTGGATTCCAGGCCGGGGATTTAGCTCAGTGGTTTCGCCTTCTGCTGTGCAAGCGAAAGGACCCAAATTCTATCCCGGTACCAAAAAAAAAAAAAAAAAAAAAGAGCCTGGATTCCTTCTACTGCTATGAAAAAATACCACAAAGGTAGTGGCTAAAAACAAATTTATTAGCATACGGTTCTGAAAGCCAGAAGTCTAAAATGGTGCAGTGGTACACACCTGTGATTCCAGCACTTGGGAGGCTGCGGCAGGAGGAGCGCTGTCAGTCTCAGGCCAGACTGGGCTACATAGTGAGTTCAAGGCTAGACTCAACCGCGTAGCAAGACCGTCTCAAAAAACCATAAATAGGCCGGGGATCTAGCTCAGTGGTGCTGCGCCTGCCTTGTAGGCTTAAGGTCCCGAGTTTGATCCCCGGTACCAAAAAAAAAAAAAAAAAATCAATTAATTAATTAATTATTACAATTAAATAAATGAGTCCCCAGGGCAGATTCCTTCTGGAGACCCCAGGGGAAAATCCGTTCCCTTCTAGAGGCCTCTGCATCCCTTGGCTCCTGGCTCCTTTCTCCATCCTCAAAGCCTGCAATGGCATTCTCCCTCCAACCTCTGCAGCAGTCTTCATATCTCCTATGTATTGGACCCTCCCGTTTTCTTTTACTGGGACAGGGTATCACCATGTAGTTCAGACTAGCCTTGAACTCATTATGTAACCCAGGCTGGCCTCGAACTTGGGGAGATCCTCCTGTCTCTGCCTCCGGAGTGCTGGGATTACAGCCATGAGCCACCTCGCCCGGCCTATTTTCTTCTTATAAGGACCCTTACGTGGGGTGTAATCTAGGCACTCGGGAGGCTGAGGCAGGAGGATCACAAATTTGAACCCAGGATAATGTCTCTAAAACAAGTTTAAAAAGGGGCTAGGATGTAGCTCAGTGTCAAGGCTCTGGGTTCAGTCCTCAGTACTGTCAAAAAAAAAAAAAAAAACCTTGTAGGGAAGCGGACACAGACATCTTTGGGAGTATTGTTCTGCTCCCTGGCTGTAGGCACAAGAGATGGAGCAATCGACGCGAGCACAGCGCGTGCTCTGGGACAGGGAGGCGCAATCTGCTGAGCAGGACCCCAGCAGACTGGAGCTGGGAACCGGCCTGCAAGGCACGACGCCCTCTGGCAGCTCTGGCAGCTTCCGGTTCCCAGTGGTGGAAGGTGAGGCGGACCAGGGATGCGCAGGTGGATGGGGGGCTGGGCAGTCAGGCGCAAGCGGGGGCCTTCACTGTGGTCCCGCCCCCTCGGGGGCTGCCCATGGTGCCTGGAGTCGCGCGGGGCGACAGAGTGAAAGATGCGGGAGAGGGGTGATTTTTCCTGTGCCGGGGATGGAACTCAGGGCCTGGCACTCGTCGGGCCAGTGCCTTCTCACAGAGCCGCATCCACAGCCCAGAGAAACTTCCTTACTGACCGGTGGACGAGGGTGGGGTGTCACCGTGCTAGGAGTCAGACGGTAAAGGGGCAGTGGAGTGTTGCAACTGCTGAATTTTCAGGTTTTTTGAGATAGGGTCTTGCTGTCTAGTTCAGGGTGGCCTCGAAATCACAATGATCCTTCTGCCTCAGCCTCCCAAGCACTGGGACCACAGGTGTTCACCACCATGCCCAGGCTCCAGCCTTTTTAAATTTCTATCTTGTTCTTTTGGGGTTTTTTTGAGACAGGGTCTCGCTTTGTAGTTTAGGCTGGCAATGAACTCGCTATGTAGCCCAGGCTGGCCTCCAACTTGTAGTGATCCTCCTGCCTCTGCCTCTTGAGTGCTGGGATCACATGCGTGTGCCACCACACCCGGCTTCTTTAATTTCTATTTTGGAACAGGGTCTTGCTAAGTCTCTAAATTGCCCAGGTTCAGCTGGAACTTGCAATCCTCCTACCTCAGCCTCCCAGAGCAGCAAAGATTACAGGAATTACCACTACACCTGGCGAGTTATGCACTTTAGATGGGTGAGTCTTATGGTATGTTATGGAAATACAGCTGAATAAAACCAGTTTTTTAGCCAGGGGTGGTGGTGCACATGTGTAATCCCAACATTTGGGAGGATGAGGCAGAAGGATCACCATGAATTCAAGGCCACCCTGGGCTACATAGTGAGTTCAAGGCCAGCCTGAACTACATAGTGAGACCCTGTCTCAAAAAACAAACATACAGGGGCCAGGGATTTAGCTCAGTGGTTCCAACGCCTGCCTCACAAGCACAAGGATCTGAGTTTGATCCCTGGTACCAAAAAAAAAAAAAACAACAAACATACAAAATAAAAAACAAACATTTTTTTAGGGCCAGGGGTATATGTCTGTGGTAGAGCATTTGCATATCATGTGTGAGGCCCTGGGTTCAATTCGGAGCACTGCAAAAAACAAAACATTCTTAAGAAAGAAAGAAAAGGGGGAGGGAAGGAGGGTGGGTAGAGAGAAGAGAGTAGAGTAGAGTCACAGGATGGGAGCACCAAATGCCACATTCCGGCTATCGCTGCAGTGATGCTTACAAACCACCACACTCGCCTGGCTGAAAGCAACAAAGATCATTTCTTTCACATTCAGTCTGTGCTCTGGACAAGGCCCAGTGGTGATGGCTTCTCCCCACTCCCGGATGACCCAGAGAACCTGCTTCCAGGACAATGTTGGCTGTGGGTAGTGAGTTCCACCAGGGCTCCAGGCCAGCTGCCTCAGGGCCTCACCTCCCAGCCTGGACCAGTGACCCGGGAAAAAGAGGATACGGAAAGCTCCATCACCTTCAATGACCCAACCTCAAAAACACCGTGATGTGGGGCCAGGGATTTAGCTCAGTGGTTCCACCACCTGCCTCGCAAGCGCAAGGACCTGAGTTCAATCCCTGGTACCAAAAAAAAAACAACACTGTGGTGTAATGGGCCAGGGACATAGCTCAGTGGTTCTGGCGCCTCCTGCACAAGGGCAAGGTCCCAAGTTCTATCCCCGGTACCAAGGTACCAAAACAAACAAACAAACAAAACAAAACAAACAAAAAAACAGTAATAAGTTGAAGTGGTGAAGTATCTAGGAGAGAGGGACAGCTGTCTGAAGGTGGCAAGGAGGCAGGGGGCTTTAAGAGAGGGGGCTGCCAGGGCTGTGAGGAGCAGGGATCAGGTAGAGGCCAAAGGTGAAGAAGGGGGTAACATGAGATGGTGTGGTTGATCCTGTTGATTGCCCGTGACTTCTTGTGCCCCCAAAGTGTGGGGTTGCAAAGGACAGGGAGCTGGTTAGATGCAGGGTGTACAGAGCTAGGGGGAAATTCAGGAGCTGTTGGGTGAGAAGCTTGAGTGAGAAGACACTTAGAAACACCCTGACTCATGGCAAAGCCCTGGGCCCTGGAGGAGGCTGGCTTGACATAGGGAAGATTCAGCCTATAACACAAGAGCTCAGCGACCCATGAAAGGGGACAGAGAATGAGAGAAAAGAGGAGACAGGACTAAAGGACGGGGGCCAGAGAGCTCTGCGGGGCAAGACCAAAGCCAGGAAGAGTCAGACTATGAAAACCCCAGCACGTTGTACCTGTACCTGCAGTTAACTCAGGAGGCGAAGGCAGGAGAATTGCTTGTGCCCTGGAGTTCAAGGCCAGCCTGAACAGCATAGCAAGATCCCATCTCAAAACAAACAAAAAACAAAAAGAAGGGCCGGGGATTTAGCTCAGTGGTTTCACCGCCTGCGCAAGCGCAAGGGCCAGAGTTCGATCACCGGTACCAAAAACAAAAAACAAAACAAAACAAAAAGAAGAAAGAGACGGACGGACACAGAGAGGGAAGCCAGGGACCTAGGGAGAAGGAACAGCATCCTCAAAGAAATGACGCCAGGCCCCGGGTGCCTCTCCCCATGCTCCCAGCAGAGGGCACCCAGGATCCCTTTTCCTGGAGGAGTCCGGAGGACCAGTACCCATCACTAACCCCCGGCCCATCCGAAGGGGTTATTTTTACACAGTGTCACCGGACACCCTCGCTGGAAGGCCTTCTTGCGTCTGCCCTTCGGCTCCTGGGAGTGACCCCAAAGCATCTTCCACCGCCACCCCGGCGGTTCCTGGCAGGCCGCCTCTTTTCTCTCCATTCAGGACACAGCTCAGGCCCTGCTGGGTCTTGCAGAGAATCCAAGTGGAGGCCCTTGGGCCGTGACGGGGGGCACGTGTTCAGCGGTGTGCAGCTGTCAAAGGGAACCCAGGATGGGGCAACCGCCGGGACGATGGCAGAGCCCACTACAGGTGATGGTCAGGGCTTCAGGGAAATGACCCCGAGTCCTCCGGAGACACTGCAGCCATTCGGGGACACAGGGCAAGGAAAACCCAGCAGGGAAAGGGAAGCCCCGGATGCCCAGGGACAGGGCCGCGGAGGGCTGAGAGACAGTGAGCAAGAGGTCCCCCAGAGATATAACTGACACTCAAGCCCGGCGTGGTGCTGCACGCCTGTGATCCTTGCACTCAGGAGGCTGAGGCAGGAGGATCACAGTGAGTTCGAGGCCAGCCTGGACTCCATAGAGAGACCCTTTCTCAATAATGAGGATGAGGATGATGATGGTGGTGGTGATAACAGAGGGAGAGGAAAGACAGAAACCTCTGGAGAAACAAGAGCAAAATACAGACGGAGACCAGGAAGACAGAGGTGACCAGACACGGCGGCCCCCAGACCGACAAACCTCAGAGATAACTGACCCAGGCAAACTCTGCGACCCATTCCCAAGAAACCCAAAGCCATGGCCCAGAGACCACAGAGGCGAGAGTGTGGCCCCACAGGAGGCCACGAGCGAGTGGAACCCACCCGAGGGCCCGGATCCCGCCCAAGCAGAGGGCGCCACCCCCGCCCGCCGGCCGGTCACCGCTCCCTCCCCCGCGCCCTCTGCGCGGCCGGGCTATTTTTATGCGCGGACACCGGACACCGGGCTGGGGCGGCGGCGGCCGAGGCGGGGCACGGCGGGCCGGGCGTCGGGGCACACGGGCGTCCGCGGGGTCCGGGCAGCTCGGGCCATGGAGCCGCCGTGCGGCTGCTGCGAGCGGCTGGTGCTCAACGTGGCGGGGCTGCGCTTCGAGACGCGGGCGCGCACGCTGGGCCGCTTCCCGGACACGCTGCTCGGGGACCCGGCGCGCCGCAGCCGCTTCTACGACGGCGCGCGCCGCGAGTATTTCTTCGACCGGCACCGGCCCAGCTTCGACGCCGTGCTCTACTACTACCAGTCGGGCGGGCGGCTGCGGCGGCCGGCGCACGTGCCTCTCGACGTCTTCCTGGAGGAGGTGGCCTTCTACGGGCTGGGCGCCGCGGCCATGGCGCGCCTGCGCGAGGACGAGGGCTGCCCGGTGCCAGCCGAGCGCCCCCTGCCCCGCCGCGCCTTCGCGCGCCAGCTCTGGCTGCTCTTCGAGTTCCCTGAGAGCTCGCAGGCCGCGCGCGTGCTGGCTGTCGTCTCCGTGCTCGTCATCCTCGTCTCCATCGTCGTCTTCTGCCTCGAGACGCTGCCTGACTTCCGCGATGACCGCGACGACCCGGGGCTCGCTGCGGTAGCCGCCGCAGGCTCGGTGAGGGGCGGGGCCTGGGGAGAGGCGGGGCTTGGGAGGAGATGGGCGGGGTCCGGGAGCGGGTCTGGCCAATCAGAAGGTGGGGCGAGGGGCTCTGCGGCCTGGGTAACCCAAGACACCCGGCCAGGCCTGGGTCTCTGAGGTTAGGGGAGATGAGAACGCGCCCGCAGAGCGCAGGAACTTTGGGGACGAAAGCTGTGGGGCGAGGGACAATCTGGACACTCCGGGGTCTGTGCAACTGGCTGAGACCCATGGGAAGGATGAGCTGGACGGCTGCGAGCAGGGACTGAAGAGAGCAAGCTGGAGCCGGGGCAGGCTGAGGACCAAGGGCTGGGGAGGAGGAATCAATCGCAAAGAAAGTCGGGCTGTGGGGACGGGGCGAGCGGAGGGGTGTGCAGAGGAGATCTTGAACCACGAAGGTCTGGGCTGGGGTTGGGAGGAAAGACAGACAGGGCTGGGGGGCGGAGCCAGAGCTGGACCCTCCCCACTTGGAAAATCAGTTCTAGGAAGTGGGATTTGGGGGAGAACAGGTTCCACCCTACTTCAGCATCAGGTCAGGAGTTCCTGCTAAGGAAGGTCTAAGGGCTACCTTCCCAGCACCCTCAGCTCAGGAGACTGGAAAGGCAGCTGTGCAGGGACAGTGCCCAGGGTCCGGGCAAGGAGTGAGGACAGCCAGCTCACTGGGGCCTTGGGGACCGGCCACTCTGGTGTTGAGCAAGGCTAAGCCCTTTCCTCCCTACAGTTCCCTGCTCGGCTGAATGGTTCCAGCCTCGTGCCTGGACCGCCACCCCGTCTGCCCTTCAATGACCCGTTCTTTGTGGTGGAGACGCTGTGCATCTTCTGGTTCTCCTTCGAGCTGCTGGTGCGCCTGCTAGCCTGCCCGAGCAAAGCCATCTTCTTCAAGAATGTGATGAACCTCATCGATTTCGTGGCCATCCTGCCATACTTTGTGGCGCTGGGCACCGAGCTGGCCCGGCAGCGGGGTGTGGGTCAGCCGGCCATGTCCCTGGCCATCCTGCGGGTCATCCGTTTGGTGCGTGTCTTTCGCATCTTCAAGCTCTCCCGGCACTCGAAGGGCCTGCAGATTCTGGGCCAGACACTTCGGGCCTCCATGCGTGAGCTGGGCCTCCTCATCTTCTTCCTCTTCATTGGGGTGGTCCTCTTTTCCAGCGCAGTCTACTTTGCTGAAGTTGACTCTGTGGAGTCCCATTTCACCAGCATCCCCGAGTCCTTCTGGTGGGCTGTGGTTACCATGACCACTGTTGGGTATGGAGACATGGCACCCGTCACTGTGGGTGGCAAGATAGTGGGCTCTCTGTGTGCCATTGCCGGCGTGCTGACCATTTCCCTGCCTGTGCCTGTCATTGTCTCCAACTTCAGCTACTTTTACCACCGGGAGACAGAAGGCGAGGAGGCCGGGATGTATAGCCACGTGGACACACAACCCTGCATCAACCTGGAGGGCAAGGCCAATGGGGGGTTGGTGGATGGAGAGGTGCCTGAGCTGCCACCTCCACTCTGGGTGCCCCCTGGGAAACACCTGGTCACTGAAGTGTGAAGGGCAGTTGAGGTCTACAGGAGGGAGGAGGGGGGAGGGGAACAGGGGAGGGGATGGAGTTTAGGAAGGACTAGGCTAAGCGGTGACCAGTGCTGAGTCTTGTTGGGTCTGTAGCTGCTGTGGATACTTCCTGAAGGAGCAATGAATGCCAGTGGTTTGTGTTAGTCGAGGGGTGGCCCCATTGATTCATATTGCATTGTGTTGTGCCAAGCTTGTGAGCCTTTTGAGGTAGTGTTGAGATAGGTTTGGCCACATCCGATTGGGAGTTTTGTTGGGTGGGGCGGGTGATTAGTCTGGGGAAATCTTGTCCAAGTGCATAATGCAGGGTTCTGTGGCCTTGAGTCCCCCTGGGCCATGTTGGGTCAAGTCAGGTGATCATTTAAGGGCATTATTGAGATGGACCGTATGGTCATGTATGGTGTCGTGGAGACATGGACAATTGTGTGGCTTTGTGTTTTTTCTAGGCCATGTTATTTTATGTTCTGTGAATTTATGAGTCATGTGGGAATACAGAGTCAGGTAATAGAATTTGAGCTTTCTAGGTCGAGGTGGGTGAAGTTGGGTTGGAATGTCTGATGGGATTCATCTTTTAGGTGCTATCAAGTTTAGGTGCTGTTGAGTTGTGTAGACTTCTGTGGCTGGGAGTTTTTCAGGGACACAGTGAGCTGTGTTGAAATATAGAGGCATGTGAGTCTTTTAAAGTCAGTTAGGTCAGGTCATAGGACTGTTGGGTCATGGGGCCATGCTGAGGCCTGCCATTGCATGATCCCATAGGAATGTTGGGTTGAGGTCCATCGAACCGTGTGAAGTGGATTTGCATTTGGTAGAAGCATCAGGACCCAAGGATCACAGCCCTGGGCAAGAGTCACAAGGTGGTGTGGGTATGGGCACTGCTACTGCAGAAGTGGGCTGGATTCTGAGCAGTGGAGTTAGAGATTCATCCACAGGGGCTTGAGGGACGTAGAAAAAGAGCCGCTCCTTCCACTTACCCCACATGTGCTTCATTTCACCGTTCGAACCCCCACTCTATCTGGTCTCCTCGGTGGTTAGCAAGGAGACATGGAAACATGGAGGCCAGAGAAGAGAGAGAGGGGAAAAATGTTTGTCCTATGTCTAGACATAATGGGAGACAAGATCAAAGGGAGGGGGAGACACAGACCCAGAAAAAAAGAGAAGGACAGACACCCAGACAGAGAGAGACCAGAAGAGAGCCAGAGAAAGGGACAGAGACCTGGAAAGAGGGAGGCAGAGACTGAGAGAGAGAGGGAGGCAGAGTCTCAGAAGGGGAAGCTGAGATTCAGAGAACAGACAGAGACCAAGCAAGGGTGGGAGGTGGAGACCCAGGGGGGATGCCAGGCACCCAGAGAGAGGCCAACTGAGACCAGAGTTGGAGATGGACCACAGAGCCCCAGAGAAAAACTAAAAAGAAAAAGGCAGAAAAATTCAGTGCTTCAGCCTGAGTTCTCTGAATCACAAAAGGATCCTAAACCGGGGCATTACTGAGCACCTCTGGCCTACGGGTCTCCATGTTTCCAGGGGAGAAACCTGAGTCTCAGCAGGGCCATGGCTTCCCAAGGTTACACAGCAGTCATAGCCAGGACTTGCGGCAGGGTGCCTGACTCCACGTCCCCACAGGCTGCTGGTGCACAGAGCCTAGTGAGGCCACAGCCTTGTAGACAGGAATCAGAAGCTAGGAGGGGACAGGGGAAGGTGTCACCCAAGGTCACAAAGCCAAACATTTCAGTCTTTCAGTACTAAATGGCATTTAGAGGAGGAGGAGGAGGAGGAGGAGGAGGAGTTTACAATCACTAGCACATATAGGGGTTCCTATGTGCCAAGCATCATTCAGGGCACTTGTATTAATTTATTAAAACCTGCCCGGTGGTTTACAGTGTGGTGTCATTATTATTACTATTTTTTTTTTTGGTACCGGGGATCGAACTTGGGTCTTTGGTTTGCCAGGCAGGCGGCGGAACCACTGAGTCATATCCCTGGCCTGGTGTTATTATTTTAAGCTCCCCTCCCGCTGTGGTCATAGAAAGCCTTCCTCAGAGACCCCAAGTAAAAGACAGGGTAGGGGTGGGACACACCTCCCACTGGGCCCCAGTGAGGGAAATGCAGTGAAAGAATTCAGTTTGGAGATCCCAGGTTTAATCCAGCCCTCTTTTTGTTTTTTTGTTTTGTTTTTGGTACCAGGTATTGAACTCGGGTCCTTGCGCTTTCGCAGCAGGTGGCGAAACTACTGAGCTAAATCCCTGGCCCTCCAGCCCTCTTTTTATAGAACGAGAAAGGAAGTACAGGTTGTGGGGAGAGTTCGATAATGGCTGAAAATAATACAACCTTTAGTGGGTCACTTCTCTCTGAAATGGAGAAAAGCCACATTCTGAGACTAGCCGTGTCTCTCAAAGGGCCAAATATGAGGCAGAGTCTTGGGGGTGCAGACCCCAGCAGAGACCCACAGAAGAGGGAACCAGGACAGAGTCAAGCCCAGGCAGGAGAGAGGAACCGAGGGCCAGAGAGGAGGGCAGAGGGCTGGCTGGGAGGGGTGAGAGACCCAGGAGGGGACAGATATCCAGGGGAGGGGACAGAGGTTGTTGCCTGGTTCCTCTCCTTTGAACATTCATTCCTGTCACCCACTGGGGCCTGGAGGCTGCAGTGTCCCCCTTGGTTGGGAGTGGGGTGTGTGCCTGCTGGGAACACTGGAGAGGTTAGAGAGGTGACCGGAAGGGACACCCACGCCTGGGAAGTGCGTGGTAAAGTAAACAACTGGAGCAGCCTTCTGTGTGGCCTGGGCTGGGGTGGGGAGGTGAGGGGAACACCCTAATCCGGGGACACCCTTCCTGCCACCTTGCCATGCTATATTTAGGCCGGATGACCCCCAAGGCAGGTTTCAGCTTTCCTGCTAAAAATAGTTCAGGAGGAGGGGAGCCGGGTCCCAGGGTGGAGATGTGGTGGGGTAAAGGGCCCTGCCACCGTGGGGCTGCCCCAGGACTCCCCAGCCTCCTCCTCTCTGTCTCAGGGTCTCTCTGGGGCTCCGTCCCTCCTCCTGGGGTTCAGTCCCCTCTCTTGTGTCTGCCTTCTCTTTCTGGCTCTGTCCCCTTCCTTCCCTCTAGGTCTCTACCCCTTCTTTCTCTTGGTTTCTGTCCCCTTTCCTCTGCTTCTGTGCCTTCTCCTCCCACTGTGTCCGTCACTGTTCTCGGATTCCCTAGACAGCCTACCGTGTCCTTAAACACCATTCTTCTGTCCGGGTCCCATGGCACCTTGGATTTCTCTTATCTGAGCTCAGGACAAGACCCTCCACTCAGTCCCCACCCAGGAAATTCCAGGAGAGAGGACTCTGGGAGAGTCCTCATCCACTGCCTCTGGGCGGCGGGCGGCCTTATCACTGCCCAAGCCCAGCTGGTTAATGTCTGGCGAGAGCTCCTGGGAAAGTGGGGATGAGAGCGGAGGGTGGGAATCTGCCCCGGGATTGACACTGAATTGGCAAAAGACTCCAGAGGAATCTCAGGACTCCTGAGTCCATGGGAGGAGGGATGCGGCGCCCGGGCGAACGGGTTCGAAGGAGGAAGGGCTGGGGGGGGGGGGGCAGGTCTGAGGGAGGAGGCTGGGCAGGACCCCCGGGTCCGAGGGAGGAGGTTGAGGGACCTGGACTCGTCGTCCGAGGGAGAAGGGCTGGACAGACCCGGGCTGGGCGCCGGCTGCGAAAAGGCGGCTTCCGCGGGCCGGGCAGCGCGTGCAGAGCGGATCCCCGCCCCTCCGGGCGCCCCGCCCCCGCCCCCTCCCGGCCGGGCCCTCCCGAGCGCGGGGCGAGGAGCTGCGGGGCCCGCGAGTCCCGGCAGCAGATAGGGAGGAGGAGCCGCGCCCCGGGCAGCCAGGGCGCAGCGGAGGGCGCCCCAGGTAAGAGCCTCTGCACCGCCTCCCCCGGGATTCCCGGCCGGGTCGCCCTGCCCCCGGGTAGGGAGGGACGGGGGCGGGGCCTGCGGGGGCGGAGCTTGGCGGAGGAAACTGAGGCAGGAGGGAAGTGTTCCAGACCGGGAGCGCGTTCCCCTAGCGGGGACTCAGGAGCCAGGACCCCAGCCCAGATCTTCTTAGGGGGTGGGACCCGGGAGTTCCCATTTCTGAGTACCCGGGGAGGAGGGGCGGAGATCCAGAGTCCAGGGTTTGAGGGAAGAGAGTGCTGGGGTCCTGGACTCCTGGTCCGAGGAGGTGGCAGCCGGGGTGGGGCGGCTTGGGACTGGACTCCTGGGTCTGAGGGCGGAGACAGCTGAGGTCCAGGGTACCTAGTCTGAGGGAGGAGGAGCTGGGGACCCACAATCCTGCCCTGGCCAGGCGCCCCGCGCCCCTACATACCCGCCCTCCCCGCTTCCCTCCTCGGAGCCCGGGCGCGCAGCCACCCAGGTATGCGCAGCCGAAGTCTCGGGCGGGCCCCGGCCTGTCCTGCGAGCAGCGAGCATTCCAGGAAGCAGCCCCAGGGACCCAGGGCTCCCTGAGTGCGGGCCCTCGGGGACCGGGTGTCCAGGGCAGTCCCGCCCCTCCCGTCTGGGAGATGAATGGCACGAGGGGGCTGTGATCCCTCCCAGCCTCCTCCATCTGCCCCATCTGCTTCTCATCCCGGCAGGAGCCATCACCTGGCCAGGGAGGGGCCTCAGTAGCAATCTCTGGTGCCTGCGCTCTCAGGGAAGTTCTGGGGAGGGGGTGTTCCCGGGTCCAGGCCCCCTTCTACCCGCCTGTGTAACCTGTCTGTTCCCTTCTTCCCCCAGGTGGCTGCCCCCTCCCTCTCCTGGGATGTCGGGAAGGAGGGGACCACCCGTGTCCTCTACAGGGGCCCTGCCAAGCTGGGGGGCCCCCAGCCCTGGCCCTCGGAGGTGCTGACAGGTCTGGTAACCACCTGCTGCTTCTCAGTCCTCCTGGGCTTCCAGAATGTTGTAGAGAGACTTGGAGACACCCCCCCACACACAGGTTCTTCCCACCCCCATTATTTTCACACATGGAGACACTGAGGCCTAGTAGGACAGGGGGCGTGTCTTGCTTTATTGGTAGCAGTTTTGAGCTGAATGAGTCTCCCTGGAATTCCAGATTCTGGCTTCCAAAACTTCAGGACTCAAACCAGATGTGGTGACGACCGCCTATAATCCTAGTCCTTGGGAAGCTGAGGCAGGAGGATCACCATGAGTTCAAGGCCAGCCTGAGTGACATAGTGAGACCCTGTCTCAAAAATTAAACAAATTGGGCCAGGGATTTAGCTCAGTGGCACTGTGCCTGCCTTGCAAGCACAAGGTCCTGAGTTCTGTCCCGGGTACTGCCCCCTGCCCCCCCACACAAAATTAAACAAGTTGCAGGACACAGGAGGGGTTTCTCAGGGTTGTTGAGGCCAGAGGGCAGAAATGAGCTGCTCAGACAGAGTTCAGTTGCCACCTCTGCCATTTGCTGGCTGTGTGACCTGGTGCAAGTCCTTAACCTCTCTGAGCCTGCATTTTGGCTTTTCCTTGGCTATGAGGTAACAGTAGTTGGATAATTATTAATGTAGAAGTTGGGCTTCACCCAAGTCCTACAATATAGGGTCCCACAGTTCTGGCTTGCAGGCTGCCCTGGGGCTCCCGACTTGTGCCCCTTGTTTCCCCCTCTCTAACCCCAGCCCCCCTTTCCATTCGCAGGTGCTCAGAGATGCGCCCCGGCACCTGCTGCTCCCTCCCCATCCTCCTCCTCTCCCTCTTCCCCAGCGCCCCCGTGGAGTGCCACCCCTCACCCTCCACACTGCCCCCATTTCCGGCCCCCGAGTGGGACCTCCTGTCCCCCCGAGTAGCGCTGTCCAGGGGCGCCCCTGCTGGGCCCCCTCTGCTCTTCCTGCTGGAGGCCGGGGCCTTCGGGGAGCCAGCGGGCGCCCGGGCGAATCGCAGTCGGCGTGGGGTGAGCGAGACGGCCCCCGCCAGTCGCCGGGGTGAGCTGGCAGTGTGCGACGCGGTGAGCGGCTGGGTGACGGACCGGAGGACGGCGGTGGACTTGCGGGGGCGCGAGGTGGAGGTGCTGGGCGAGGTGCCCGGGGCGGGCGGCAGCCCCCTCCGCCAGTACTTCTTCGAGACTCGCTGCAAAGCCGACGGCGCGGGCGCGGGAGCGGGTGCAGGCGAGGGCGGGCCCGGGGCCGGCGGAGGGGGCTGCCGCGGCGTGGACCGGAAGCACTGGGTGTCGGAGTGTAAGGCCAAGCAGTCCTACGTGCGGGCGCTGACCGCCGACGCCCAGGGCCGTGTGGGCTGGCGATGGATTCGAATTGACACTGCCTGCGTCTGCACGCTCCTCAGCCGGACCGGCCGGGCCTGAGGCTCCTGCTCACAACTGGTCAGGCCACGAAAAGAAGAGAACTGGACGCTGAGGGACCTCAGGGGTGGCCTGGCTGTTCTCAGGGCCTTGGCTTGGGAACTTAAAATGATCGCAAAATCAAGGCTTTCTGATTTTGAAAGCTCAATCCATATAGCATATGTGATGAAACCAAATGGGGTTTCAAAGGATGAATAATAGCAGTTCTGGAGCACTTGAGGGTAATCATGACCATGATAACAATAATAATGGCCAATATTTCTGGGTGCTTATTGTTCATCAGCCCTGATACATTGCTCCTCAGTCAGCACTCCTGGATTTGAGTGTCGGAGGCACTCAGCTTTGAGTTGCAAACCACTCAGTCTCAGAGCACACTGCCTTGGCCCCTGGCGAGGACAGGAGGGGCCAGGTCGAGAAGTGGCTGAATGGGGTGGGGGCTCCGTTCTGAGGTGGTGAGCTGCCCGTGGCAGTGGGAGCACCAGCAAGGTAAATGGTAAGAGCTCAGGATGCCTGCCCAGCAAGTCCAGTCCTGGGCTGGGGTCGGGTTTCTACCCCCTTCTTTGCCCCCCGAGGGAAGGAGATTGACCTCAAAGTTGTCTCACTTAAGTAGGACACGAGGCTCTGACCAACTAACTGGGTCTGGCCCCTGGCCAGGGTCAGGGGTCACCGGACACTGATAGGCTTCAAGTAGAGCCAGGAACATCCAAGCAGGGGCCCCAAAAGGCTGAGTGGAATAGGGAGGGTCTCAGAGACCCTGGGTCAGGCCTCAGTTTCCCCTATCTGAAGACTGGCCTGGTGGATGGAACGATGAGGGCTGAGGTGCAGATGTCTTGACTAAAAGGCCAAAAGGTGACAAGGAAAGTCCCCACACTCCACTGCCCCATACCTGCTGCCATGTGCTTACATTTTTCTTCTGGTGCTTGGGTTTGAACTCTGGGTGATCTATATCACCAGCCCCACCCCCTGCGCGCCTTTTAAATTTTTACTTGGAGGCGAAGTCTCTCTAAATCACTCCAAGCCAAGCTCAGATTTTCGATCCTCCTGCTTCAGCCTCCCGGAGTCCTGGGATTACAGGCGTGTGCCCCCAAACTCATTCACACATACATTCTCTTAGGTCCAGCTTTGAGCTAAGGCCCTAGACAGCCCCTCTCCTGCCACCCCACAGGAATCTGGGCCCCTGGGAGGGCAGGGTCTGCTGCCTGTTTTTGCATCTCTTTCTGCCCCTTCCTGTGTCTCTCTGACTTCCTGTGTCTCTTTTCTCTGGGTGAGCAGTGCACGCCCTTCTTTTTGCTAAGCATTTCCCTGTGTGTTCTCCCTGGGACTCGCCCTCCTCCCATGCCCAGGTGGAAGTCTTCAGCCAAATCAAAGGCAGGACGGCGGCCGCCCAGGCGGCTCCAGCGGCCCATGGAGGGAGGGGGAGCTCTGGGACGTCTGGAAATCGTTACCCCGAGGTGGGCAGGCCTGGCAGAGGGGGAGGCAGTCAGGGGATGTAGGAAAGAGGGTGTTTCTTAAGGATTCCTGGAGGGGGTCTCTGTCCTGGTCCCCCTGTGAATCTGTCTCTCTGCCGTCTCCCCGCACCCCTCCCACATTTGTTCCCTTCACTATCCTCTCTGAAACTTTCTGATTCTTCTGTTTCCCTTTCTCCTGCTTCCCTTTCTGCTCTCCTCTGAGTCTCAGTCCTCCTTGCAAAGTCCCTTGGTCTCTTTCTCCCTTGGTCCATCCAGATGCCTGCCGGCTCTCCATTGGCTGGGCTCAGGTGGGTGGGTTCTGTCATCAGGGAAACAGCAACAACAAGCCGGCTTCTGCTTGGCCATGGGTGGGGGTGGGACCATGGCCTGTTGGACCCTAGCTCTGCGCTCTGGCCCCTGTGGTCACCCACCTCAGGAAGGGATGTGCCTGGATCCTGGCACCTCAGCAGCAGTGGAGTTGCTCACCACATTATCCCACCTGTGTCCTTTCCTCTGCCCACTGTTCAGGTCAGGGGACCCAAAGCTGAGGGAGGGGCCCGGGCACCCAGAAACTTGGGTGCTGAGAAAAAAGAGAATTGGGGTTTGGACACTGTCTGAAAGAGAAAGGGGCTAAAGGAAGAAGGGTCCTGAATTCAATGGGTCTGGAGAGAGGGGCTCTTGAGGCTTTTTAGCTGACATGTGTCATCTTCTCCTCAGTCCACCATCTCGGATCCCCTACCCCCTGCTGCTAGGCAGGCTTTGCACATCTGGGATTTTGACGAGGTCATCAGCAGATGGGAGCCGACCTCCGGCTCAGCCTAGGTGCCCAAGACCCATGGTGGGCCCTACGCGCAGCCCAGGGCTCCAGAGCCTGCAGACCCTGTCCGGACATTGGGGATCAAAGCTTTAGAGGAAAAGGTAGGGACCCAGGATTCCAGAGTCCAAGGGGGAGAGGGGGCTGGCGATGGCACCCGAGCCCCCTGCCTCACCTTGGGTCACTGGGTTGCCTTCCCACAGCTCGGACACCGGCGACTCCCCCTGACCACAAAACCCCAGAGCAGCGAGACGAAGGGACAGTACAAGGGCTGGCCCACCTTGGACCAGGGCCCCACCACCCACATCGGGGCCCAGCCCCTGGAGCTCGCAGACCACAGCCATGGGGGACTGGCCCAGGTTGGAGCGGAGGAGCCAGAGTCTGGAGCATCTGGGGCAGGTGGGAGGGCACTGAGGTTAAGGACCAGGTGAGGATATCCTGGGGCAGGCGTGGCCAGGGCCTGGGAGGGATCGGCAGGCTGTGGAGGGGCTGGACTTCTCCATTCTCGGCCAGGAGGAGGAGGGGATTGGAAATTCGAAATTTTGCCTCTGAGGCCGGTTGGGAGTGGGACTAGAATATTCACAGGCAGGGTAGGGGTGGGAGGTGGGGCTGAGTTTACTTGAAAAAAATATGGAATTGCTGCCCAAGATGCAGCTGTTCCCAGTGCCAGGGTCAAAAGTGACTGGGGGTGGAATAGGAAGGTTTGTGTGTGTTGTCTTGTGGCTGTGGGCTTTGAGTTCCTTGACCAGCAGGAAGTGTTTAGATTGAGATGAGCTTTGAGGAGTGATGCTGAAGTAGCCTGGTGTGGAACTGCTTGGGAAGGATTTTGCGGGTGGGGTGGGAGGGCCTGGTCTAGCAGGGCTGATGAGGTGGAAGAAGAGTGATTTCAAGTCTGGGACCCAGGACTTGGACTGGGGTGCAGCCTCTCTTGCCCATCCCTCCTCCATCGCCCTCAGGCTCCAGTCCCCTGGAAGAGGAACCCCGAGCTGGCTGGCCGGCCTTTCATGATATCCGGCCAGGGAGTCCTGGACCGCCATCAGCTCTACTTGACCACCACGGCCTGCGACTTCCGCTTCTACCCCAAGTGAGCTCACATCCTCGCTTGCTCCCAACAGCCCTGCTTATGTCCATGGCACCCCAGCCCTTTTCTGACTCAGTGGTCTGCCGCTGACTCCAGAACACAGCAAGAACCAAAGTCCAACACAGCTCCAACCTCTTTTTAGAACCCAAGTGGGGGATGGTAGCGCACACCTGTAATCCCAGCTACTTGGGAAGCTGAGGCAGGATTCCAAGTCTGAGCCCAGCGTGGGCAATTTAGTGGCTTACCGAGACCCTATCTCAAAAAAAAAAAAAAAAAAGTGCTGAGGACGTAGCTTAGTAGTAGAGTGCTGGCCTAGCATGCCAGAGGCCCTCAGTTCGATCCCCAGCATCTCCCACCCCAGAAAAATGCACCCCAGTGCACCCCCACAATCCTGGCGCTGGGGACCGAACCGAGGGTCTTGCGTATGTTAAGCAAGCACTGTACCATCCCGTTGTCCGAAGTGTGGGCCCACATCAGCCTCGGCTAGATTAGGAAGCCTGCAGAGCCCAAGGGCAGGCTCAGATGGGCGGGGGCTTAGGGTTCAGGGAGGAGCCTCCTTCGGTACTGCGCTGTACTCCTCAAGGATGCGAAACTCCCAGTTTCTGGACCCCAGGATTCCAGACTCCGCGTCTCCTCATCCTGTTCCTGTTCCTAAGAAGTCCCTGACTCCTACAAATGTTCCCTCGCCTCGAAAGCAGGAGTTGAAGGCTACCTCTCCGGAACAGAGGTCTGATCTCAGGAACCCCCTCCCCCGCGCCCTTCCCACAGGAAAGAGCTGTCGGGATACCCACGCCGGGACGTGCTGACCTATTGGAACTTCAAGGGGACGCCTCGGGGCTGGGGACTCGGCCCGCAGCTGCCGAAGCGGGTCCGCCTGCCCCACGCGTTCCCGGGGACCCCGGCCGCACCGCGGGTACCTGACCCTAGCTCAGGAGTCCTACGGCCCCCCGCTGCACCCGCTGCGCCGGCTGGACCAGTTCTGCCCGCCGGAGGCACCCTCGGGCGGCCCTCACTGGAAGCCCCTGCCGGGAATCTTCAGCGCGCCCAAAGCCTACAGCACCCGAGTTCTCCAGCGCCCGCAGCCTGAAGCCCGAGCTGGTCTGAGCCGGCGGGGCGGGGGTTCGGCCCCGCGAGACACGCCCACTCGTCTAGGGAAGAACCCAACTGGTGAAAGTGAATTAAAACTACGCCCTTCCAGGAACCGGGCTCAGCCCACTTCCGGACCGGCAGCTTGAATCCTGACTTCTTGCAGGCTTGGGTGTGGGGACGCTGTCTGAATCTCTTGGTGGCGTCGGGGTACACGCAGGTCCCTGCCTGAGCACAGCGCCGGAGGCCTTTAGGACTGGTTGGACCCTAATACGGAAGCCACGCGCCTCCGGAAAGGCAGGACTGGCGGGCGGATGGGTGGCTTCCAGAGGCCTCAGGTGGTCCCAGCACCTTCCTGGGTCAGAGGGGCTACCAGAGGCCTCTCCGGCCCCTCCCCGGTCAGGGCTTTCTGCACCCTACTTCCTGTGCCTCCAATGGGGCCTGGGCTCTACCTCCGGTCACCTTCACCACGGTGGCTCTGGAGCCACTGCTGCGCCTCAGTGACCTTGTCGCTTCTCGCCCCCGGGGAGGATTAGTGTCCAGGTTACCCCAGATTGCCGCCACCACCGGGTGGCCTTGCCGCCCCCACAGCCCACAGGTATAAAGCTAGGAAGACGGTAGGTAGGGGCAGCATCGAGAATGGAGATGCTCCAGGTAAGACTGGGTCCCGGGGAGGCTCCCTTTTCCAGGCCACACTGGGCACAGAAGAGGGCAGAACAGTGTCATGGGTGAAAGTGGCCTGTTCTAGAGGGTGTGGGAGTCAGCAGGCTTCCCGAAGGAGGGAAGTGGTGGAGCAGCGCATGGCGGTGGATGCTGGGATCCCCTGTGCTGTGGGTGGGCCCCAAAGGGTTGGGCTGGTGGCTCTGAGTGGGCAGGGCCTGAGGCACTGGCCTTGCCCAGGGGCTGCTGCTGGGACTGCTGCTGAGCGCGAGCGGGGCGTGGGCCTCCAGGGGCCTGCTGCGGCCCCTCTGCCGACCCATCAATGCCACCTTGGCCGCCGAGAACGAGGCCTGCCCGGTGTGTGTCACCTTCACCACCAGCATCTGTGCCGGCTACTGCCCCAGCATGGTGAGCAGCCTGGGTGGGCAGACACTGGCCTGATGGGTGGCAGAGGGGAAGGGCGGTCCAGCAGCTCGGGCAGGGGACTGCTGGTAGCGCTGGGTGGCGGGAGGGAAACTTGGAGGGTTCCAGGACACGTGGAGCCTGGCCCTGGGAATGAGGCACTCAGGTGAGGACCTGGTCCCAGCGGGTGCCCACCAGCCCCATCCTGGTCCCCAGATGCGGGTGCTGCCGGCCGCCCTGCCACCTGTGCCCCAGCCAGTGTGCACCTACCGCGAGCTGCGCTTCACCTCCATCCGGCTCCCCGGCTGCCCACCCGGTGTAGACCCTGTGGTCTCCTTCCCCGTGGCGCTCAGCTGCCACTGTGGGCCCTGTCGCCTCAGCAGCTCTGACTGCGGGGGCCCCAGGGCCCAGCCCTTGGCCTGTGACCTCCCCCACCTCCCAGGTGTCCTCTTCCTCTAAGGACCCGTGCAGCTTCCCCAATAAAGGCATCTCAACCCAAACTCCAGGTGTCTTTCTGTGCCTCAGGTGACATACACACCATGGGTCCAGCTGACAAACCATTTTATACAAATTCACAGTGTCTGAACTCTGGTAGAAAACAGGGTGGGGTAGGGGTGACTTCCAGCTCATGAGGTGTCCATGGTTTCACCTTCTGTAAAAAGGGAGGCAGTGCAGTCAGGGTAGCTCAGAGGGTGACAATGGCAGGAAGGTGACAATGGCAGGAGGAGGGGCGGGACACTCACTGAGCTCGTTGAAGAGGAAGGCGTCCTGGTACTCCTTCATGTACTGCGTGGAGCGGGATTCATCCAGGAAGAGCGAGTAGACCCGTTTGATGTCATCCACCTGCACCTCCGTGCCCTGGGAGAGTGAGAGGCCTCAGGGGGGCCTGCGCTGTGACCTGCCCACACCCTGCCACACTCAGGAGGTACAGTGGGCAGGCAAGGCAGCATCCTAGGTTCAAATCCCACCCACCTCCCGCCTGTGGGCCCAGCCTCTGCCTCAGTTTCTTCATCTAGGAGATGGGCTTAGCATCTACTTGTAGTCCACAGATACTGAGCACCTACTATGTGCCAGACTGGGAGATACCAAAGTAAACCCAAGGGATGAAAACTCCCTGCCTTTGAAAACAGCCTCCAGAGTTGGGCGCGGTGACGCACACCTGTTATCCCAGCTCTCCTGAGGCTGAGGCAGAAGGATTGCAGTGAATCTGAGGCCAGTCTGGGCTACGCAGTGAGACCGGTCTCAAAACAACAGACATCCAGAAAGAAAACATCCTCTAGGGCTCAGCAACAGCACCGGAAGCCCTGTGGCAGGGCCACCTTGGCAGCTGACCTTGCGTTTCCGGCACACGAGGCTGGCTGCCGTGATGAGCTGAATGGCGTAGCGCAGGGACGTCTCCAGCCCGATGCGAGTGAGCACGGTGTAGGCGTCCTCACTCATCTCCACATCCTCCTCCTCGCACCTGCAGCAGGGCGGGGGCTCAGGTGGGGCCGGGCTTCCGGCTATAGCACAGGACTCAGCACAGTGACCCTGGCCTTTCCCTCCGGGCATCTCATAACCACAGATGCTGAAGGTACACTTAAAACTGGGTTCCACGACCCCCACCTGGGCGCTTTCCCTCCTATCTGTCACGAGAGCATCCCCTCCTTGCTCTGAAGCCCTCCCAGCTCAGGCCAGTTCTGCCCCCAGATGCAGCGCCCAGTGTTGGGCACACCACGCCTTTGCACCGGATACGGAGGATCTGCTTGGTGTCCTTCTCGCTGTACGGCGAGGTGGAGACAATGAGCAGCCGGTCCAGCAGGTCGATGGGGATGCCGTGAGGGCTCTGGTAGCTGGTGCCCCGGATCCTGGGGGGATGGGAGGGAGGCTGTCAGGTGGTGACCGCAGCAAGGGTTCTTGGTCCTCCACCCAGAGTGTGCCACCCACGCTCCACCATGGCCCACACCGGGGGCTAAACACGCTCGACCTTCAGCTGCAGCTCACGTCTCCACACAGCTGCGTCAGTCCCTGGCCAACCCCCCTCCATGGGCTATGTTTGAGCGAGGTCTCTGTGTCCAGGATTACCGGATCAAGGTCCCCTCCCCGAGCCACAGAGCACCACAGGGCAAGGGACTGTGGCTGTCCTGTGCCTGGCTCTAATGGCAGGCGACAGGAGACACAGGCAATCCTTCCTCGGTCACAGTAGCTGCATTCTGTAAAGGCGCTGGAAACACTCAATTAGCAACCAGAGAGCTATAGGCCTAGGGAAACACAAGGTTCTTGACAGCCCCTGCTTACACTTTCATCAACCAATCAAAAAGAAGGGAGGCTGAGGAAGGAAGATTCAAATTCTAGCCCAGCCTGGACAACTTACTGACTTTGCAAGTTCCTGGTTCAAAATAAAAAATAACAGCTGGGCATCGTGGTGCACTCGTGTAATCCCAGCACTTGGGAAGATTAGGCAGGAGGATCTCTCTCACTGTGAGTTTGAGGCAAGCCTGGGCTACACAGTGAGTTCAAGGCCAGCCTGAACTTCGTAGTGAGACTCTGTCTCAATAAATAAATAAACAAACAAATAAATAAATAAAAATAAGGGCCAGGGTTGTAGCTTAGTGGTGCAGTGCTTGCCTGGCAAACATGAAGTCCTGTTTTGATTCCCAGTGCCAACAAAATAAATAAAAATACAATAAAATAACACAAGGGCTGGGAACATGGCACAGTGTAAAGAACTTGGGTTCAATCTGGTACCACAAAAGAAAGTCTAGCCTGCAAGACACTCAACCAAGGTCACAGCCCACAGCACCACATGTGCCTCAGCTCCGCACACACGGAAGACCTGTTGGGCTGCCACAGCCTTCCTGGCTTGGGGACACTAGCTGGTACTCTGCTGTGTAAAAAAGCAACAGACACAGTGCTAAACTGGTCAGGAAAAGGACACATGCTTACAGTGCAGGGTTAGAAAGTCACCTCTGTCCATCGGTGAGTGATGGCAGAAGTGCCCCGAGTAGTGATTTGGAGACTACAAATACATCTGAGCAAGTACCCAGATCCATAAACACAGAATCCAGCCTGTGATCCCAGCACTGGGGAAGCTGAGGCAGGAGGATCACCATGAGTTGGAGGCCAGCCTGCACTACACAGCAAGACCCTGCCTTGAAAAAACAAATAAATACAGAATCTACCAACAGCAAAGACTGGTGACACTGGCTCCTTTCTTATAGGAGATGTCCCTCCCTCTGTCCTGTCTGTCTTGTCCCTGGGCAGTTCCCAGGTGCTGATCTGCTAGTCCCATAAGCACTGTGCAATGGCTCTTCTGGTCCTCCCACTTTTTTTTTTTTTTTTTTTTTGCAATGCTGAGGACTGAACCCAGGCCTCTTACATGCTAGGCAAATGCTATATCCCAGTCTCTTATATGTCGAGACAAAGCCCAGGTTGGCCTTGAATTAGTGATACTTCTGCCTCAGCCTCCTGAGTAGCTGGGATTACCAATGTGTTGCCACACTTCCAGGCCCTGCCACCTTCTAGACACAGGACCTTGGGAAATCACTGGCTTTGCTGGCCCGGCCTAAAAAATGGGGCCAAAATGTTCTTTACTCCTTGAATTGTGTTGTTTTTTGTGAGCTGGGAATCAAATGCAGGGCCTAGAGCAAGCTAAGTGTGTGTTTGACCACACAGTTACACCACAGCCCTCCTGAGCTGCTGCAGAAGTGTAAGGAGTCCTTCCAGGAAGCCCCATCCGATCCCAGCCTGGCAGGGCTTCCGCTTCCTTCTTGTCTCCTCGGGCTGAACCATGGACGAGCAGGCAGGGGTTAGCCGGGACTATGGGGCATGGGCATCAGGGACACCTCAGTGGAGGGTTCCAGGTTTCATCCTTCGGGTCTCAGGAGTTTATACACTGCTTGCTTATTTATTATTTATTTAGGTGGTACTGGTGACCAAACTCAGGGCATTTGCAGTGAGCTACAGGCCCAACCCTTTTCAAATATTTTCAAATTTTGAGATAGGGTGTCACTAAGCTGCTAAGATGCCTAGGCTGGCCTCAAATTCATGGCAATCCTCCTGCCTCAGCCTCTCAAAGTGCTGGGAATCCAGGCATGCATCCCCCCATGTCTGGCTCCACTGCATCATTTTTTTTTTTTTTGGTACTGGGGGTCAAACTCGGGTCCTTGCGCTTGCGCAGCAGGCGGTGAAACCACTGAGCTAAATCCCTGGCCCAACTGCATCTTTATTTTATTTTATTTTATATTTTTTTAATTTATTTTGAGACAGGATCTCACTACATAGCTCAGGCTGACCTTGAACTCACTATGGAGTCCAGTCTGGCCTTGAGATTGTGGTGATCTTCCTGCCTCAGCTTCCTGAGTGATAGGACTACAGGTGTGCACCACTACTCCTGGCCTCCACTGTTATCTTCAGACCAAAAATAATACTAAGAGTTCCAGTGAGTGAATGCTTAGGTCTCAGCGACTTAAGTAATTACAGTGGTTTATGTAATGTCTACTGAGTGTCACTTTTATCCTCTCCAAATTAAAATAAACATCCCATAAAAAGAAAAAAAAATAAATAAAATAAAAAATAAACATCCCAGTAGTGCCT